CCCCCCCCCTTTACTAGGAAAAGGTAATTGTTATTAAAAAAAAAAAAAAGAGGAAAAGGTAATTGTTCTTAGCAATTTAGCAGAACAATGGTAAGGAGGACGGAGGTGCCATAGCTAAGGCTATGGGATGTGCTTCATTGGTAAGGAGGACGGAGGTGCCGTATCGACCACAAAGATGATAAGGAGGACACTGGCAAGGAGGACAAAGGTGCTGTGTAGCCCACCAAGATGTATTCTTTTTTTTCTTTCTTTCTATATTCTTCTCTCAACTTCTGTTTCTTTTACCTTCCACTACCTACTCCTAAGACTATCTAGAGGGCCCCCCTGCAAGCATAGTTTCCTCTCTCTGTGAAGGGGAGACTTCATGTTGCCCCTTGCCCCTAATGGTTAGGGTATAGGGTTGGGGCCTCCAGTGGGGGCTGGGTAACACAAAGACCGAGACCTGCCAGTAGCTGTGCCTCCCTTTCTCATCGTCCCCCACCCTTCATGGAGTAGCAGCAGAGGCTATGGCCAACACTCTCCCACACACCACACACAACCCACTCGCGCTCACACTCACACCCGTGTTGGTCATAGACCCCGCTAAAGTTGTCTCCTGCGTTTTTTCGCAAAAGGCGAGAGCCCTATGAGCCGGACACCAGGTCTGCTGTCTGGTCAGGTTGCTACAGTAGAGAGTGATGTTCCTCGCACGTGGTAAGATAGAAAAAGCGCCAGGAGATATATCCAGAGGGTTGCTAGGATGGGAGTCTGGTGAGTATGTGAAAAAGAAAAAAAGAAAAAGAAAAAAAGAAAAAGAAAAAAAGGAAAAGGAAAAAAGAAACCAGGACCCATGGGTCTGTTCCTGGGTCATACATCTATCCGAAAGAAAGCTGTGGTTGGTTAGTCAGTCGTGAGGTCCACTCTGTTGCAGTATTCTTTTCTTTTGTGACCCCCTTTCATAATAGATAGAGATAATTTGCAAAATACCCCCATAAGTTGAGATTCATGCCAAAATGCCCCTAAAAGATGAGCGTAGAGCTTCTGACAAAAAATATATTTTGTGAAATACCCCTAGCGTCGGTTGGACCCCAATCTTTGCAAAATACCCCTACCTGGTACCGTGCAATTTTGCAAAATGCCCCAGTACTTGTAAACGTTTCCTAGGCGCTATTGCAAAAGGCCAAGGCCCAAAGGGGGAGGTCCAGATTGCAAACCATTGCACACCCGCCGCCTGACAGGGGCACAACACAAAGATTTCGGCCCAAAAGGAAGGCATTCCTCTCTACCCACATCTTTCGGGGGCATTTTGGCATATATCTCAACTTATGGGGGTATTTTGCATATTATCCCTAATATCTATTCAGGCAACCCATGATCCAACGGCCTCAGGCAAACAGCTGGCCATCTGGCGTGTCGCACGTCTCCCACCTGGCCACAAAAAAAAAAAAAAAAAAAAAAAAAAAAAAACCAAAAAAAAAAAACCCTACAACCACGTTTACCCCCGGGACTGGGACCTTTACCCAGCCGTAACCAAGGGACTGGGACTGGGACCTTTACCCAGCCGTTTACCCTGCCGTTTACCCAAGGGACTGGGACCTTTACCCAGCCGTTTACCCTGTAGCATTAATGATTAATTATTATACTACCATGATTTAGGCCATACGCTTAGGAGGACTTGCCTGCATGTATCTGACGGCATTTACGGCCCCTTTGGTTTGCATCTGGCGGCAATTCCGTCTAAAGGGAGAAGTTGAAATACTCCGAGTGTGAGTATGCCTTTATGCCTATGCACAAATCACCCCTACGCATGTGATGCAATGCTTCCAAATTGTCCCTACGCATGTGATCTATACAGGGGGCTTCGGGCCATTCTTGATTGGGTGGGTGAGGAGGGGTGGGGTGATTCCCAAGGGGGAGGGTCCAAATTTTGCCCATGATTTATCTGTGGTGAACGGACCTTACGCCACGTGGCAAGCGTGCATGATGCGTGGAAAGGGAGGGCAGAGGAGGTTGCACACCCGCCGCCACGTGGGCAGGATTGTGCAGCTCGTCGTTCCCCACACTGGCTTATCTGCTGCCACGTGGCATTACCACGGCGGATTGTGAATGTCCCCGTGGCACTCACTATCAGGCCGTGATCACAGGTCAGATGACAGCTGGACGTCATCTGAAAACCTGAGAGTCAAACTGCAGTTGGACACCACTAGTTTTTTTTTTTTTTTCTTTTTTTTTTTTTTTCTTTTTGTGGGAAACAATTAGGGTGGGTCTTGTGGAAGAGCCCGAAAAACTGAGATTTGAACTGCGGCGGGATTGGCCAGGGCGGCGGCGTGGCAGCTAATTGTGACACGTGGCATGAGCATTGCGGCGGCGGG